TATATATATATATATATTTAGAATTGTAAGTTATATGTCAACTGTTTTCATATAAAAGAGGACAGAAGAATGAAATAATCAAGAGAGACAAAAGAATGATCATAATTCAACATTTTTATCTTTAGAAAACTTAAGAACAATATGATGTAGAAATTAAATGTAGCATTTTTAAGAAAAATGCTTTTAAAAATTTTAAATTTTAATTGCCAAATAAAAGTCATAGCTGTTCATTGAAAGTAAAAATTTCCAAAACTGATTAAGCAAATCAATTTTACAAAATATAAGAATCCTTGAATATGAAAACAATGCTTATATTTGGTATTTTATGAATAATCTTTAAATGATCTTGAATATAGGAATACAGAATAGAAATGTTCATGATTAAGAGATTTTCTTAAAAGTTTCAAAAGCATTGTTTTGTGACTTCTAAGAAAACTATGAAAGCTAGTTTAGCAAGAAAAATTGCTCATTCTGAATATTGCTAATTTTTGTAAGTTACAAAATAGCATAATCATTGTTTATTTTTTGTATATGATATCACTCACATCATATACCTAGCAATGCAATTGTGATTATGATTTTATTGCTAGATATGATAGTGTGAATCTAGGGGGAAAAAAAGATATGTTTACAAGCAAAATTAGAATCTAATTTTCTTTCAGTGGTATTATTTTTGACTTTGAGTTAATTCAGAATTTAAAGTAATAGCATAAGATAATCATCAATATAATCTTCTAGTTAATAAAACAGAATGCTTGAAACTTCTCAGTATAGACAATTTCTAACTACCTTGTTTTATTTACTGAAAGAAAATCAGTGATTGATCAGTGAAAGATAATCATTCTTAATTTTATGAGAATTTGAATTCAACAGAATTATAACATTAGCTTGAAGATTTATAATAATGTATTTCTATTATGTATTTCTCTTTGATTCATGTCGTAAGCTTTTGTCCAAATTTTGTAGTCAAAAAGTTCATGAATTTGGTACATAACAGTAGTGAGTGTTGCATATCAAGTTCATTCCCCAATGTTAAGTGATTCACTTGTAACTTTGAAAATAAAAAAATTAAACTATTTTTATGTATACAAAAAGAGAATAAATTTTTATAATATTTATAAAAATAATATATTTTTTATTATATTTTATNTTTTATATATTTAGTTTCTTCTTCAAATTGGTCAAAATAAACTCAACAAAATTATGAATTGTTCTAATGTTTTAAATAATATAATACATTCAATTACAGGTAACCCTCTCATTATGCAATAACTAGGTTCCAAAAAATGTCATGTTATAAAAATCACATTATTCATACTCACATTACATATAAAAAAAGTGGGTTTATGTTCCAACACCAATTTTTTTAAAGATAAATTTTATCTATCATATAAGAAAAAACGGTTTCATTTAATTCAGAAAATTTCATTTAAGAAAACATGAATTACAAAAACAAACTTATTAAAATTTTTTAAATAGAGTTGTACATAACAATCTATAATTGCATACAAAAACTAAATTTTAGTCATCTTTACTACTATTTTCCAAACAAGATTTTACCAATATTCCTTAGTTGTCATTAGCTGAATGGAGGGATTTTTCCAATTGGGAGATAGCCACAAAAAATTTCCTAACATTTTTGACAAGCCTTTTCTTTTTTAATCTGTTAAGGAATTTTTTAAGTGAATTCCTTAACAGATTCAATATAAATTTGGCTGAACTGTTTTTATTGATATTGTCTACATATTTTGGGTCAATGACATCTATTAATTGTACTAATTATTCCTCATTCAAATCTTTTACTTGATTAATTAATTCAAGAATATCATTTTCATCCATATCATAAAATTCTCTCCACCAAGAATAAGCTAAACAGATGATTTCATATGAACTCTTGCATCAAAATCATGCTGTATAAGTATCATATTATATGGTTACAAGGATTGCTACAATGTGGTTCACAAATTGTAGCAATCCTTATGTACTGCATTATACAAGGGTTACCTGTACTTGCTACAAAGATGAAACACAACATTCAACAATAAACTAACATTAAAATAAAGTGATTTTTTTAGATAGAGAGAGTTAAAATAAATAAAAATCACAAACAAAAAGTTAAATTTACAATATAATATATAGCATTACACTACTGTAATATATACAAAAATATTATTGTAAATTAAATTTACAGTAATATGTTTTGAAAAATTCTAAAATAGAATAATGATTTTTTCTATATCTAAAATACAGTTGCCAAGTTTTGAAAACACAAAAATTGGCATTTTTGGTTACAAATAATCAAAGATTGATAGTTGTGTGTGAAGTAACATATTTTAAATTGCATAATGAAAAAATCACAAAAAACAAACTTTTATTTTGAAAAATGAATTCATTACATAGAAATATAATCAATATATTGAAAGATTACAAAAAGAATAAAGTATTAAAAAATCATGTCTTTGATTAATATACAATATTATATAATAACACTTATAGATCATATTTCTCTTTGGATCAGTTTTCTTTTTAAAAGCTTTTGTCCAAATTTAATCTTAAAAAGTTCATGAATTGGTACATAATACTTGTGAGTGTTGCATACCAAATTCATGATTGATTCCTGACAGTATTGTCACTTGTATCCCTGCAATATGTTTAAATTCACAAAGAAATTGAATGAAAAAAAATCTTCAATTTTTGAATATTAGTGTTTGCAATAAATTATCAAATTGGTATGGAATTTGAGAAATTAGTGCATTTTACATTCTATTTGGGAGTCAGGCATTTCACATAAAGGCTGAAGTATGGTACCAAAATTGTATGTTTGACTTTAAATCTAAAACTACATTTGTGAAATTTAGGTTTCCAAAAATTGCAAATAAGGTTAGAAACAAATTTATTATTATGCTATTAGAAATATCCTTGAAATGAATAATTTTAAGAATTATTTTGTTTTCATGTACACCGTTTCTTATTTATAATGCTGTTGATTTTATTGGGATTTAAAATAGAGTAATTAGTTCATTAGGAAATTAATAAAAGAAAGTAAAAACATGCTGAGTGTGGCATTAACAGTTTTTTAAAATTTTTGCTAGTGCTAGCAAAAATTTTAAAAAATGTTAACACAGCACTCAGTATGTTTTTACTTTCATTTTACATGATATTTAGTGTGAGGTTCAAGCTGTATTGTAAGGAAATTAATATAAATAAATTTGGAATAATTGAAGAATTTTTAGTAGTTGCTATAATATGTTTTGTCTTATTATGCAAATCAGAACTTCTCCTATCTAATTCAAAGAAAAAAACTAAGTAAAAACAAGAAAAACATAATTTTTATGTATCTGGTTATATTTGACAGATGATTGATCAATTTATTATCTAAAAATATATATATGAACACCAAACTCTAAGAGGAGGGTAATTTAAAAGATAAAACAATCACTTCCATCCTTTCATAATTTTAATGAAAACTATTTTGTATTATTTGTTATATAATATTGATTAATAATGATTTCATAAATATGCCTGTGTGTGTGATCTATTTAAGTTATCATATATTATTATACAATGACAAATTTGCATGTATCATTTTATTCTGTTTTTATTTTAAAAGTTTATTTATTTATTTATTTTTATTAAACTTTAGTTCCACTTGAAATTCCAATATTTGGTGCTGTTCCAAAGTTATGGATTTATTTATTTTGCAATGTGATTACTCAGTATCCTTTTCTATTAAAAATATTTAGTCAATAAAAATATTTTCCCAATATTAACTTATTATTATAATCTTTAACTGTTATCCAGATATGTTTGCATTCGATCTGTATTTGTATTGACCACACAATATTCATCATTATCTGTAACAATGGTTGTTACACTTAGAAAATATATTTCTCTCTTAATATCAATCTTCTATTTTCAAAATCCATTCACATTATTTCATTGGATAGGAACTTTATTGGTTTTTATTGGAACAATGATTTTTATTGATATAACAAGAGCATTTAAAAAACTAACTAAACAATTTGAAACAAAAGTAGATTAAACAACTTGTAAATTAATTTATCTTGTTGAATTGTGATAAAATAATTTATCAGATGTTAATAGAAAATCAATATTTTTAATATTTTTTCTGGGTGTTTCAATTTTATTATACTCATATTTTTTCATTTTATTACTTTATTAATAAACTGCCATGTAAGTTGTGTGTTGTATTAATAAATAGTTGAAGAATTTAATTTCAGAGTTTATAAAATTAATTTTGTGGATGGCTTATGTTAAAATAAAATTTATTTATTAGACTATTTGTTTATTAGAATATACTTGTACTTTTAAAGTCAAAATATATTAGTGAATTATAACATATTGATCATGTTAGAGAAGTATATAAAAGAATATATTTGCTTATATGGAATAAATCATAATTTTATGAGCAATTTTACCATTCTTCTTAATTATGGATCTGATCGTTATGTAATATGTAGGTATATACTGCTAAACCTTGGAACTGAGAAACCAATATGGCGGCTCCATAAGAAATATTGATGTCCTGACCTTGTGTTTATAGACCTTGGGTTGTGCCAACAAAAGCAATTATGTGAATTAAATCATGTTCACAATGGAAAAGTTGCGGTCATTATGTGAACTACATAATGGCGGTAACTATGGGTATAAAGTCTGTAATCAGTAAAAATTAGATACATAAACAATGGTAATTAATTAATTAATAAATATTGATGCATATTTGGATGTAAGTCTAAAGTGCATCAAACTCATTATATATGCACACATTCCCGAATGATAAATTACTAGAAAAAAAGCGGGAAATAAAACTGAAGTTAGAAAGCCATCAACAAAATCTATGTATAGTACAGTACTATATGTTTGCAGTTTGCATTTTGACAATGATGATTACTATTTGCCAGGTAATAATAGCATTTCTTTTACGTATTTTTTAAAACTATTATCACATACGGTATTTTTTTTACTCTTTCCGCCCTGTGGGCACTAAGAGGGCCTCTTATAGCAGACCCATTATGGGTTCAGCCAGGCCCACAATGGGGCAACTGTGTGATGAGGAACGGGGCCCGATATATCCAAATGGACCACTCCCCGAAAAATTCCTGGGGATTCCTTGACCCTACATACAGTATTTAGGTTACTATAGGTGTACAGTATGCGTGTCATTATTTAAAATCGTAATTCCTATCCAATGAAAAACATACCCGCACCAGTACGGAAGTTTGATGCAACTGGCTCAAAACAGATTGTCGAGAAAAGGTCCATTCATGCCTTAAAAAAAGACAAGAAGTGTGGAATAAAAGTTTGTTTCTTTTTCATTTTTATATTTCGAATAAAGCAGTCACAGGAAGTAATAAAATCCTTATCATTCATAATATGAGATGCATCTCTTTAATTAATAATGTCATGCTGAAACAAGATGTTATAATGTTTTCGTAATAAGTTATAATGATTGCAATCAATAAATTATTAGGTTTGAAACCATCAAACAAGAAAACTTCTCTCAAGGATTCTACATATTGGCCTAATAATGACACCTATATTTTGGAAATGTCCAGCTCAGTACATCCTGGTCTAAATCCAACTGGGCATGTATTGTACAGATCAACAAATGATCACAAATAGGTACAAGCATAGTACCATAATGCAAGAGCGAAAGTCGAAGTTAGAGTTATTAGAAGTACCAGGTACAATTGTACTTATAGATAACACATCAGCTATTTGAGTTTCTTATCTTTTTACATGAAGTTTGACAGTGCCCTGTTAAATGCTTAGTTAAATGCGTAGCAGACAGTGCCCTGTTAAATGCGTAGCAGGAGAAGCAGTATCCTGCTTCTCCTGCTACGCATGTGCACTGATATCAAATATTTATTGATTCCACTTTATATTTAACGTGATTTCGTGATGTTCCTTAGAAACAACACTATATAAATTTAGTTTTAAATTTTCTCTCCTTTCCTTCTATAAGGCGTTTTTTTAATCACCCACATATTCAAAAATGTCAGAGTGTAATCTTGATGACTGTTTAAGCTTAGTTGATTTCATAGTTGTTTACATTAGGCACGAATGCATATTGCACACTTTAAAACTTCTTGACTACAGTGGAAAAATTTATTACAAAGATAACAAACAACTCACTCTTGTACATTGCCAGGCACGCTATACTAGCGTTTCTCATACTTTTTCTCATGCGACCCAATATACTAATTTGCAATGGTTCCGTGACCCAAATGTTTGTAATATAAAAATTTTTTAAAAAATTTTATATTATATACAGTGAACAGGAGTCACTGTATATTATATATATATATATATATAAAATAAAATTATGCATTATTGATAACTTTTACATGTGAAATGTAACATCAAGTACATTTTTATTAAGAGCAGCTCAGGCCAATTGATTGTAACAAATAACTCAATTCAATTTCAGTTTTTATTATTGAAATTTAACTTAGAGTGCAAGACTGACTATCAATATATAAAAATCAATTGTTGTTTTGTTTGTTTGTCCTTTATAAAAGTCATTATTCTTAAACCGATTTGGATCAAAGTTCGTATTAGTATTATCTAGACCCTAGAATCGACGCTAAGCTATATATTACCCCAAAATATTAGGGAAGTGTAGAGATTTCGCATCCTTTACATATAGCACCATCTGTTGGCAAAATTATTAAATAGATGATAATTGTTGTTGGTTTTTGGAATGCTAAAACTCGGAAAAAAGCAAAAAACTATTTATTGTTGACACACGTGATATATTATAACAATTTTTTTAATGATATCTTTGTTGGTACAGAAACTATTTGCACACAGCTGCACAGAAAACTAGGATTTAACTTTAAAATATAGACAGTGTGAGTTTTGCAGTGAATTCTGGTTAAATGTGAGTTTTGCAACAAACTTATATGGAGAATGTTAGTTACGAACCAAAACAGTTAGCATAATCGAAAACAACAAGAACCAAGAAAAATGAATCTTAACATTATTTTATTGGAGGAATAATAAACACCAAAAATCAAACTGCATACAGTATTATTTACACTAGTTTATCCATTATACACTGTATTTCAATTGTTTAACACTAAATACTTATAAAAATTATTACCAAAACATTAAAAACAAAGTAGCTAGAAAATTGTGAGCAGACAACATCAACAGAACTGGAACAGACAATCACTGGACATGATGCTTTGTGTGCGCCAGGGGTTCTCTGATTGGTTAAATTGGACAGTGTGAATTTTGCTGCAAAACAGCTGTTGGATAATGTGACATATGCTTCAAAACGTGATTTTCAACAATTTTTCCAGCCTAAGAATGTGAGTATAGGGCAACAACACTATTACACTCTTATTCGCCTTTACAAGATTAACACGGTGATATGAATAACTCAATACCGCCAAAAATTGGATAATGTGACTTTTCATCTATACCCTTCTTATGTCGTTAGAGAGAAGACAAAATGCAAAATTTGAAGATATCTTATTTTGTGACCGCCAACGATAATTTCACAATTTTAAAATCGAAACTGGGATCTGTGAGATCCTGCATCACTAAAGTCGTATATAGGATTGGCAGGACTAGTAAAGGGACTCTAGTTAATTGCATCAGGGACTCTGAGACATCCACCATTTTATTTTTACAATATTTTTATATTTTTTAAATTCCGTAAAAAATCTCAAAAAGTTAATTAATTTAAAATGTTCCTAACTACTCAGCTTGATGGACACGCCGTTAAAACTTTTGCACAGCAACACTCGTTTTCAAATAAAAATATGCTGGAGTCTGACAGACCCAGCCGACTAACCATGCAGGAAAAAATTTATCGAGATTTCTGTGCCTCATTTCTCACAATGCGACAATCTCTCTAATTTGCTGTTTAATTTCTTGTTATAGTGGAAGCGATCACCACTCTGATTGGCTTATGTCAATAGTGACTAGACTGTCTATGGTAAGAACCAACTTGGATATTAACCAACAGGCATTTGGTTGTTTAGTTCTGGCAAGTTACTTCCGATTTCTTCCTTATTTGTTAAACATGTCACGTCATTATTAATATTTATAGTATTATGGAAGCTTCACGTCGTGGCATTGGAATACGAGGAAGTTTGCTGTAGTCGTGTTAAATGTATGATTCTTTACAGTTAATGCATGCTATAAAAATTAACACAACGGAAAAGTCATTGTGACATCTAGTGAGAGAATAAAATTCACATATTACCTTACATATTAAGCGAAAAATGTTGATATCGTTATGAAATGTGTTGATAGTTTAAATGAAGCGACATCGTGCTTGGCGTTGCTCTCAAGTCGATTCTTTCCATAGACAGACTAACTCTATTTAAACCAATAAGTGTCTTGTTACAACCCTAGAGCCATAAGTTTGCCGCTAAACTCGACACTCTTCACTATTAAGTAGCAGGAGACATTGTTTAGACCAGCGGTTTTTAACCTTTTTTGACTTGTATATCCTTGCCAGCTCATTTTTCTAAGTTTTATTTTCCATTTCCCATTTTCACTAAGTTTTACTTAGCGTATTTCTCAGACTGTGGTGCTTTGGTTAATTTATACAGCGCTGTACAATTACACGTAATTTTTTTTTTAATCGAAAAACGTTGAAGAACAGATAAATATATGGTACGATTCAAAAGTTCGAGGACTGCAGTAATGTATGACAACAAAAGCATGTATTTGAAGTTACAGCATATGAAATTGATTCTATCAAACCATTCCTATGTGTTCAGGTTGGTTTCGCCCATGTCACGTGATTAAACCACGAGCGCTGTTGTTTTCTTTCGGAGATAGTTAACTTTGTTTTGCGACGTAATAAAAATGGAGTTTCAAGAACAGCGCTGCAACATTAAATTTTGTCAGCATTTAGGTAAAACACCTACAGAGACTTTAAAATTGCTAAGAAAGGTGTACGGTGATTTTACCATGGCGAAATCAGAGGTGTCCAAATGCCATCGGCGTTTTAAAGAGGGGCGAGAATCCATCGCAGACGATGAACGCTCTGGCTGACCTTCGACTTCACGGAACGAGAAAAATGTTGAGTTGGTCTCTCAATGTGTTCGCAAAGATCGTCGCCAAACCCTTGAAAAAATCACTGCGGCTACTCACTTATCAAAGACTAGTTGCCAGCGTATTTTAACGGAAGATCTTAACATGCACCGAGCAAAGGAAAAGTCATGATGGAGGTGTTTTTGATTCTCAAGGAATTTCTCATTCAGAATTTATTCCCGAAGGCAGAACAGTAAACAAGGAGCATTATCTAGACATTTTATGTCGTTTGAGGGAATCCATTCGTCAAAAACGGCCACAGATCTGGCAAAGTGGAGACTGGTACCTTCTACATGACAACGCACCTGCACATCGGTCCCAAATGGTCACACAGTTTCTCGCCAAAACTCAAATTAATGTGCTTCCACACCCCGCCTATTCACCGGACTTAGCCCTGTGTGATTTTTATTTGTTTCCATCAATGAAAAAGCATTTGCAGCGACGCCGTTTTGTGTCATCAGATGTGGTGAGAGTAGCATCGCAGGAGGCCTTACGGGAGGTTTCAAAAAATGGCTTCCAGCAGTGCTTCCAGAAGTTATACAAGCGCTGGCAAAAGTGTATCGTTGCTCAAGGTGATTACTTTGAAGGTGGTTGTACATCGGCAATATAAAGTTTTTAAGGTAAAGAATTTTGAGCCAAGTCCCCGAACTTTTGGATCGTACTACGTATAATCAAAATATAATAATATTTTTATTTAAATAATTTTAAATAATTAAATAATTTTAAATAAATTAAGCATCGAGTGCCATAACATCGTCAAAGGCCTCAACGCAGAATCCGAATATTCTTGTATTATATCCGCCATTATTAATTTGTTACCGCGTAGCCATAAATCACTAAGAACATATCCCTGGAAGTACACATACCCGGTTGGGAATCGCTGGTTTAGACTATTCGCTTGTGCTACTAAATATAATCGATTAAAGTGGCTCTAATATGGGGTATAGTGCAGAATTTCTCAAACTATCGTCGCAACCCAATATTGGATCGCGTTAATATTTTAATGGGTCGCGAAATGATACTACCTTCCTCAGAAATACTTGTAATACTTGTATTATTGAAAAATTCTTTAAGAACTAGAAACAATAGACGCATCTGTTAAGTACTGAAAATATTTAACAACTTTTTCCTTATATTATTATTGTCATTTGGTAATAATATTAAGATTATAGAATATGTGTATATGAAATTTATCTCTCTTTTCTATTTTGAATAACATCAAAATTGATATTTTATGTAAGATTGTAGTCATAGAACCATTTAAGTTGAGGTGGTTTTGAAAATATTTCCTTGTTTATTTAAACTTTTAGATTCATTATCATACATAACAGTAAATTATAAATAATAAATAACGGATGAATTTTGGCCCAAGTAGATCAATAAATAATTTTTAAAGAATTTTTTTTCTTGGAACCAGTTGGACTATCACCTCATAACCTACAGATCTAGATTATGAGGTGGCTGTCCAGCTGGTTCTGAGTTAAAAAATTCCACGGGGTACATTCGACAACGCATTTGTTTTTTAGATGTCAATATTGCTCTCTCGTATATCCATTTGTGGTTTATGTAGTGTTATCAAATTAGTATCCGGATCTTCAGTGAATTTGCGATCACGGAGACGCAAAAGCTGTTTAGCAAAATTCTCTTCAGATCTGTTTCCCAAATAGATGGACCCTTATCTATACGGACATTCATCCAAAGGGACAACTTTTTAACGTGATCCTACAGTAATGATGCCTTTAGGCAGGCATTAAGCTACTCGGCAGAAGTCGTCAGGCAAACCAACAATCTGGCAAGTGTCATGGCAGCGACTCTCCGATAAGTAAAAAAGTCACTGACTGAGTATAACTTATATACAGGAATCAGAGTTACCGATTTTCGGGGTCAATTTCTCCGTCTCCAAACATCTAAAGTAATTCCGAATATCTCGCTTGAAAAGCTATTGTTTTCTTAGATAGTGTGCAAAATTTCAAGATTATAAAGCGATTGCTTAAATTTCTTAAGCAATTGTGAAATACAACAATCGCCAAAAGCTGTCTGTATTTTTTTCTTCCGGCACTGCAGACGCTCGCAGAGAAAAAACTACCCGGTCTAGATAGCTCAAATTTTAAACTTAAGCCTCCCTCGTTATCAGTGAGGTGCTGGTCCGGGTCGATAGGTCAAAGTTTACGAAAATTTCCATAGAGCTATTTCAATTTTACGGCTTAATTTTATGCCGATAAGGATAAAATTGAACGGAAACAAATGAATTTTATTAAACGTAGCGATTTCATTTATAATTAATTGGAATTTTGCTCTCGTTGTCGCTGAGGATTTTGTTATGCAGCAATAAAAAGTAGAGAATAAATACAGAATATAAGGAATGCCATTTTTGTCAGAATAAACTTATTTTAGATTATTATTGTTGTGTAGGCTCATTCATTAATTGATATGTGATTTGGTGAGAATATAGAAACAAAACAAGAGAAAGACGAAGAGGAGATAGTGGAAGAGAATATTTTCATTTCACAAGAAGGTGAGAATTATTTTATTATTTAGACCAAGATAAAGGAGAGAAAATATAGTTTCCTATCTATCCAATCCTATTGGGGAAGCCAGAAACGCCAATTCGATAATAGAATGCTGAAATTTATTTATAAGCCAGGAAATATTAGGAATTTTAATAAAATATACAAATGAGCAGATTAAGAGAATCCAACCAAACTACGAAAGAGAAAGGGAGGGCAAGACACTACTAATTCGAGTTTGAGATCATATATTTTAAATTAAAAATTATTAAAAATATGATTAAAAAGGGGAGTCCGGCATTGTGATGACGTCACAATAAATGATTTCTCGTATTGTAATTAGTTCATAATTTATACTTCTAGTAGTAGATTAGTTTATAATTCTAAACTTCAAATACAGTATTACTGTTTTAAAATATAATCGTCTACTAAGACTTTAACTGCTAGGATTTTAACGTGTTTTACTTGGTTACAGGTAAAACAAGTTAAAATCCTAAGAATCTGATTATAAGTAAAAGCGGTTAAAATAAACTGTTTTAATTTTGATTTCTGCTTTCTCTTTGTATTCAGTCTAACACATCAATATAATCTACACGGGAAATCCTAGTAGACGATAATATTTTAAAATATAATAAAGGACATAGAGGTGTAATTAATTAACAGTATTACAGTATTTGAAGTTTCGAATTATAAATTTTCAAAAAATATAAAACTTATAGATTAACGAATTTAGTAGATAAAATATTACAATTATTTTAAAATTCTGTTGAGTTTTGAATATGAAATTCAAATTCAATATGAATTTAAAATTAATATAAATTGAGATTGAAATATCTAATTTGATGTTATTCTCTCCCTGTTCTATGCTATTAAATTAATATTTAATATATCTCAGTTGTCTTTGAAAAGTTTCAAGGTTTATAAGTGAATTCTAAAATTGATAAAATAAAAAACAAGTATGATAAATATAATACGTCATAGATAAAAACATATTCTCTCGAGTTTCACATGATATTGTAGTAAATTCATGACAATAGTTTGCTGCTAACACTATAATGAAATTAATGTTTATACTTTTAACTTCGTTTATCTTTTTAAATGTCAATGCGTTTCGTATAGTAAAAAAAGCCGAAAATGTCACAGATATTACAAAAAGTGAAATGGAAATACCGAAAAAGGATACAAAACCTATTACCGATGTTCCGAAAATAGAATTAACATTGTCTAAGTTGAAAAGTAAGTTTAACTATAAAATAATAATAATAAATATTTACTTTAAAATTTATTCTATGGTAACATTTAATTTTTATAACTGAATAATAACTGTACTGAATTTATCTCATTTAGATAAATCGAACTGATACTTTGATCTAGAATTAAATATAATTATTCCATTTAATTATAAATATAAAACAAACAATATACTGTACTAATATATTTTACTTTCATAACATTAGCCTAATAGTAAACTTTCCTTGTTTCAAATTTATTATAGTTTAGGTGCGTAAGGCTTATCAAACTTCAGATTTGTGTATTAATATTTGAATAAATTTTTAGAGAATTAAATATTTTGCAATGTTTTATTTAAATATACAAATTTGAAACAGAATAATTCTATTTCTGTTGAATTTTTGATGCATTCGTAAATATAACCATTCAGTGTGTAAATTCTTTTATGTGGAATTATATTTAGAGAAAAGATATTTTTGGAGTAATTTTAATTCTTTTATTTGTATTGAAAACAAGACCGGCTAGAGATTTTGCACGGCCTAGAAAAAGTTATTAGTGGGGCTTCAAAATATTTACAAAAAAAGAATTTTTTAATTGAAAATTATATAATTTCGTTTAAACATAATTTACAAGAATTAAATACATATAGTTATATACTCGAAGAAATCACAAAGAACAAAAATTCTATTATCAAATTTTCTTAGAAATTTGAAAATGTAGAGCTCTTCTGGTCACGGGGTGTCAGTTTGAGACCCGATAAACTGACGTTTGATTATGCCTTGGTTGAAAATATATCAATTTCACTTGCAAGAACAGGAATGGCGAATGTTCTTGAGAATTAGAATGAATTTAGAGATAAACTGAATATTTTATGCTTATCACGTAATTTGTTTTTATTTCTGGTTGGGCTGCAATTTGAAAAAATTGCAGACTTATAAATTCCCACTGTCGTTCGTCTGTCTGGCCGTCGTTCCTTAATTTCGAAAACGGAGTTAGATAGATAAAAGAGGAGACCGTATATGAACACCTTAGAAACAGGAGGCTTGATTAATTATATTCGAATTTTCAATGCAAACTGGAAGTCATGTTATTTGAATTCAAAAGTTTCCTCTGAAAGGTACAGTACCATTGGTACAACTGCATTGTTAAAGGAAGTATGATGTACACGGGCAAGACACTACTAATTTGAGATGGAGAGCATATATTTTAAATTAAATTAATTAAAACTATGATCACAATAAATATTTGCGTGTAAAAATAAAATATGTAGTGTATATTTGAAAACAAAAATAAAATTGATTGCTGAATTAATATTCATTTCAGGCATCACAAATTGTTTTGATGACTGTATATGGTTTGACGGGTCTTACTGTGATTACAGTATAGGATCTTGTGTCTGTCCTTTCAACACCATTAAATTTGGGACCAGCTGCTTAAACAGAGGTCAGAAAATATATAATGTTGTCTATCATTTTAATTATTATTTAATTTATTATAATATAAACAATTTACTGAAATAAACTAGGAAAATAATTTTCTCTTTATTAATTAAGAATTGTTAATTAATATTATGCTTTCTGTCCCACTATTATTAATTAACTGAGCACTATAAATAGCTCTTTTTAGGACTTATCACACACTGTGGAGAACTCATTCAGAGACTGAGTCCTCGAAAGTATGTGATAAGTCCTAAAAAGAGCTATTTATAGTGCTCAGTTAATTAATGAAAATGTTTAATTCAAATATTAATAAAATTTAAAGATACACTATTAAAATTGAATAATCTATTAGTAATTTAATACATAATTTATTTTTTCTGATAATTAAATAACTTTGATTTAAAAAATATATTTAAATAATTTCGTATTGCTAGAAAATAATATTATAAAGCTTCTTTCTATTATTTTTCTATAGAAGTGATTAAAAAATGAACTTATAAAGGAAAGGAAACAAAATGCTCATTAAAATTAATTACGTAATTTGCATTTACAGTTTTTTTCTTAGGTGCATTTTGTAAGGTGTCAAAACAATGTCAGACACTTAATTCATATTGCTACTTAGGAAAATGTGACTGTCTGCCCGGTTTTGAAAATTATGGCGTTACTTGTGAACGTAAAAGTAAGTTGCATAAGAACCATAAATATTAAATATGTTTAGATGCTAATAAAACATATTCCATTTATTCAAATCACAGCTTATCTTATAATTTTAAATGTAATTTATTTACAAAACATTTCTGTATTAATTCATTAATGTTTCTTTAAACTGTTATAATTATTATACTATATTCTACATAAGAGTGTAAAATATTTCTGTAGCTTCACCTTACCAACTAAATTTTTTGCATGATCAAATATGACTTTTTCAAATGTAGAAAGAGCAGACTAGTTTATAAATTTCTATTAATGAATTGCAAAGCGAAATGAGCGAAAAAATTCATTGTATAAATTTAATTATACGTTGTATTAATGCGATAAGGCAACGCAACACATAGGCGATCTACCAAGGGAGAAGTGCCTTCCGAAAGGACTTTCAATAGGAAACTGGCTCCTATTTAAGTTAGATACGTGAAGAAAACTCTACGATTGCATCTTGACCATCAAAAATATTTATTGATAATTCATCAAATAACGAAACTAAGCTTTATTACACCCACTTTCGTAATTTTAGGGTGTTAATTAATAAAAATACAACAGAATTTAAAAGTTCAAACAAAATTTGGCAATCTTTTCAAAATAGGATTATCTACAGCATTTGCCTTGACATAGAACATTATTATTTTTTTTCTTTTAATAACATTATTTATTTGTTTAGTTAAACACAATTAGAGTGTAGTTTCCAAAAAATGTTTGATTATTTCGATTTAGATCAGTGATTCTCGACCTTTCTGAGGCTCCGGAACATCATTCATACATATACTTTTTATTATTTAGGGCATTAGCATCAATATATGCAAAAATCAATAAGCTATTCCATCTTCACTATTCTCACAAAACAATAAACTAATAAATTTTGTTGCATTGTATAAGGAATAGTATTGCCTATGGATAAAGTAATACAGTATATTGTAGTAAATTGGCATAAAATTTCAATAAAAACTTTAATTCTTTTCTTGTGGAACACTCGGACAAGTTTAAGGAACACAGGTTGAGAACCACCGATTTAAATTGTACACTTGTTTATGACCTGAAAATCACAGTGAGTATATAAGCAATAATAGGCCTACATATAGGAAACTTTTCTGTGAAATGAAACTTCTTATATAAACTTAATTTTAATTACACAAACGCTTCTACATATGTAAAAGCAGATAAACTAACTAATTTGTCAACGTTTTTAACCCACTCGTTCGGAAAACTTATTTAATTAGACTATATAACGGACTTTCGACTTTAACGCACACCCCTCGTCCGAATCAGTCCGTTAAATCGATGTTTTAATGTGTCTAAATTTAGATTAATTAATAAAATTTAGTAAGTTAAAAATACTATATTTAATTATTTTTTATTCATGTAGATTATAATGGAAGAAAGAATTTCAAGCAAATGGACAACATCGTCATTGCTGTAATTGGCACGTTTGTTGGTTTTATAGTTTTTGCTATAATTATGTCAATTACTTCTTACATAAAGTGAGATATATCGGCAAATTTTAAAAATTAAAAAAAACGCTTAATTTATTTTTGACTGGATTTTATTTAATGTATTTAGAAAACGATCTTCGCTATCTTCTGTTCAAGTAAACGAAGTTAGTACTGTTCAAATTCCACATGAATTCAGAAGAGGCCACATACCACCCGAATTTAGGACAGTTCATCCTCCTGAAAATTCTGGATTTGATGCAACTCCTCAAACACAAGTTAACGTCCGTGCAAATAATCCAAGAGAACCAATTATCTCAAATTCAGACAAACCTCCTTCTTATGAAGATATAATGAGATCGTCTATTAATAGTAGTACGGTAAGTATTATTAAAATAGACTTATAGTTATAATTCAAATATATGTTTCATAAAAACTAGAATTTAATTTGAATAATTGAGACATTGAGATAAAGAGGTAAGAGAGCTATCCGTTTTTTGTAGCTACGGACTTTGCTCTGTGGGAAGTAGAAGGATGGAGAAAGCATGAGATCGAAGTGTGAAAAGAAAGGGAGAGAGAATAGTGTGAAGAGAAGGCATGGGAGGCACCATGGGTGCCTGCATTGCTTTCGTTACAATGATTTTACAGATTACATGAGAAAATACATAGTTAAGTTTGATACAAACAAGGTTACAAATGAGTATTTACAGATTCAGATAATAACAATTGGTTACATTATTAATATTTACAATACAGAAGCTGCTGTGGTATACATTTCAATGCCGAAGAATTTTACATATACAGTACTACAATTTCCATACAAACACAAGTGGTAGTAAATACAATAATCGTGCGTTACATTATTAATCCATTGGTGGCCTCGTTAGGCTGTGGGATAGTATGTTGTTGGTGGCCCTACTGCTGAAGCCGCTAGCGTTCAGGGTCTTTGTCTTGTGCACAAATTCAGTTAGACTTTTCCACAGTTTTCTGTTGTTGAAAACGTCTGGTGGATTCGGTGGCCAGTTCTGGCCTTCGGTAAGGCATTTTCCCATGAATTGGAGCCTTTCGTTGTCGTGTTTTGGGCAGTTGTAGAGGAAGTGCTCTTCAGTTGCTTCGCTGGTGTTGTCACAGTCGCAAATATTGTTATTTGTTTTGCCGAATCGATGTAGGTAAGCAGCAAAGTTACCGTGTCCGGTAAGAATCTGCGTGGTTTCGGCTTCTGGAGTGTAGTGGTTGGCTTTGAACCTTTGGGTGATAGAAGGGATGTAGGTGTAGGTTTTCCTTCCTGTATCTGCATGGTCCCACTCATTTTGCCAGTCTGTAAGAGCGATGCTGGCTAGCTGCTTCTTCACCCAAGTATGGGGAAGTTTCCCATAGGAGGGGTTTTTGTTGAGGGTACATGCTTTCTTGGCTAGTTTGTCTGCCAGCTCGTTGCCAGCGTGCCCTTTATGTGCTTGGATCCAGTTGAAGTATAGTTTCCTGTTTTTACCAAGATTGTTTGCCTCTGCTATTAAGTCTGCAGAGAGACCTATGTATCTCCTGTTGTGTTTGAGTATGTTGAGGGCTGTCCTGCTATCCGTGTGAATGCGGATATTGCCTTTGTATTTATGGTAGTTGTCCTTAATGTGGTAATTTGAATAATTATTTTCATAAATTATTTTTTTATGGAAATTAATTATTAATTACATAGTGAAAAACATAATATACAGCCGAAACCTTGTTAATGGGACTAGTTGAAGAGTCTTAAAAATCAACACTTTGTATTAACGAGGTTTGTATTTAACAAACTACAAAAAATCATTTTTTAAAATTATTTCACTATATTTTAATTTGTTTAATAAGTCAATAAATAAATTTATTTATTTATTAAACAAATCCATACTCTCCTGTTATTAAACATACACTCTATTGAGATGGAGTATTCGTAGAAATAATCAATGCTCATTTTGGATTAGAGTTAGTAGAACGACAATTAAGCTACTGTATAGGGGAGACCGGGGCAACTTCGGCAAGCGGGGCAAGTTTGTCAAGAGCTTTATTTAAAAACAAATTAGAAGGAGATTTTGGTTATAGGTTAGGCAGTTGAGTTTTATTGGTGGCTTGTTGAGTGTAGTGTTTTTATTGTTCTCCAACAAGCGTAGTTGAATTGTCAAGCAAATTTTCATTTTCGTTCAATTCCATATAATATTTTTTTTCCATTTATATTGAATTGGCAGGTTTTGTTATAATTCCATGATAACGAAAGTTACTTTTCCTGTTAGAAGGATGTAACTTCAACTTATTCACGTGGCCAGATCGTGGCTTGGCATTCTGTTCTCAGGGTTGTACTTAATGTTTCGAAATCATGACTAGCGGGGTAAGATCGGCAACATAAAGCCACATTAGAAGCAAAGGATAAAAATCAAACAGATGATAAATGAAAACATGTTTGCATTTGTTATTCATGTATATATGTCTTTGAACTTGCATTTCGTTGTAATAATATTAAATGGGTGTTGGATTTGTATTTCTTTGTTTTAATAGTGAATTCCAACTTATACATTGTTAATAACATAATTTTATATACGTGCCTATCTTGCCCCATTACTGTTGCCCCTATACCAGGGGCAACTTTAATAAAAATAATTAAAATAATTACAACTTTACAAAAAGAGAGAAGTTGCCGATCTTGCCCCTATACCCGGGGCAACTTCGTCAATTTCTCTCTTCTTGTAAAGTTGTAATTATTTTAATTATTTTTATTTCCAAACTGATTTTAACCAGTTCTATAGTAAGGTAACATTCCAATAGACAATATGCAAAGCTTTTTTTTTTCAGTTTACAGCAGTATTTATTACACAAAATTTAAGTAAAGCTTAACATGCCGATCTTGCCCCGGTCTCCCCTATAACAGGGTGGCCAAATTGAATCTGCAGCCAAATTGAATCTGGGAGTTGGATACGCGTAAAAGTTTACAAATTTAAAAATAATTTATTTGCTTGAATTTCAATGGACATTGTTTGTTTTTAATTTTAAAATTATCAACTAATTAAAGTGTTTAATGTAGCAATTCAGTTGCTTCGTTATTTTTATTATTAAAACAATTAAAAATAAGAACTATTTCGTGAAACTACAGATTTTTAATCGTAAATCTCTCAATCCTATTAACTATCGGTTTCCAATGCACATGTCAATTGTCTTTACTAATCGTCCAGCGTTATAAACGCCACTTACAAGAGAAAGGGTAATTTTTCGAGTTGGAGTGGACTTTGTTGGTGAGGCTTATTCCTGCATTGTCAACGACGACAATAACATTAATGTCGTAAACGTTGTGGTCAACGTTATCGAAAATTATGCTTCTGGTCACGATGCTACTTATGTTGCCACTTTTACTGGCGTGACTTCGAGGAAGCTGGAAGTAGTGTGCTTTGTATGAACCAACGTAATATTAAATCGTTACTTTATTTACGAGACAACGACACACTTTATATTACGTATATACCGAACTCGTTAATATCTTATTGTTCATTACTTTTTGCCCCTTAGTAACATTAACTTTTTGTGATAATCTGATAGTAGAAACGATAGACCTACATAAATTATAATAAATAATTAATTACTGAGAATAAATAGGCCAAAAAAGGAATGACTGACGAAACCCATTATTTTTAATACAGATTTACAGGCAAATATTATGGCACACTAAAATTTAGCACTGTATGCGAAGATAAAATTTAAGTTATTTTAAATTCAGATTGTGTGACACAACTAACATTTTCAAAAAAGTGCAAAGCACAAAGGCACTTATCATATGGGGCATGGCAAATTAATTAACGTCATATTAATGAATCATTGTATATTCAAATATCCAACATGACAGCCAGACAGGTGTTTATTTGGCATGGAAGTTTATTGTTTAAAAAATAAAATTACAAAAAGCAATGGAGTCAGAACTTATTATTTTTTACTTAATTGTACTGTAAACAAGTAGGCCTACAGGAAAATTTAAATTTCCTTTTCTTTCTGACTTGTGGAGGATTAACTTAGATATAGTGTCAATGCTTGTAAAAGGCCAACCTGGCCACAGTGTCTTTTTGAGAAATAAAAGAAATAAAATAAAAAAATGTATCTTTCTATTAATAAGGAAATGATAGTAAGTATAATGTTTCAAATTATTTGATAGATCTTATTATTTTTATGTTGGATAAAAGCTATTTTACAGTAAATAAAAAATATTATCGTCAGAAAGATGGCATTCTATGGGTTCTGTTAACTATGGGCCCAAACTAGCAGAAATTTTTATGTTGGATATGGACAAAAGTTTATCAGAATTAAAAGGAATAAAATTTTTTGCAAGATATGTTGACGATATATTAATTATATACAATAGCACGATAATGTCATCTAATCAAATATTGGAGCAAGCAAATAATATTAACACATACATTAAAGGTTTATATGAAAAATATAATAAAATTTTTAATGAAACTTTAATAAAGTTAGCTCCAATACAAATAATAGGTTGTCTGAACTGATGAAAATTATAAAATAATAATAATAAAAAATCCAAATTTAAAACATTTCCCACGTCAATACACCTTTGAAACATCAAAAATTCTATTATCAAATTTTCTTAGAAATTTGAAAGGGCGGGCCCCACTGAGCGCGGGGTCTCTGTCTGAAGCCAGAAAGATCGATTTTAATGGGCGGATGGCCGAGAGACCTACCATTCTGGGAGACCCGGAATTGAATTAGGACGGGTCGAAAAATTTCCAGGAATTTTTCAGAGTGGATAATTCAACCGGATATGTCGGTCCCGTCCCTCATACCCAGATGCGCCATTATGGGTCTGGTCCAACCCATAATGAGCTTACTAAAAGGGCCCTCTTAGTGCCTACAGGGTGGAAAGAGTTTTAAAAAAGACCGATGTTTGGGTTGGTCCTGTCTGAACTCCAAAAATCCGGATTTGGTCGCGTAAAATGGATATTAATTTGGAAATCCCTATGGGATTCCGGCTCCAATTAATCCGAATTTTTGATTTCACGGTATTATCGATGTCTCATAAATTAATTACATGGTCTGTTGCTTTAATAATAATAATACTGTATACATTAAAGCTATTAAATAAACTAATTTGATGATGTTTATATATATACAGTATATATAATATAGCAGGACTATTTATATATATATATATAGTCCTATTACATTAACTAAAAGAATATCAGTTTCTTNAATACAGCAACAAAATCGCACGTCTTTAAACTAATATTAAAATAATTAATGGATGAAATTTTAAATATATGTAGATTGTGATCTTTTATATTAATAAAATCCTAACAAATAAAAAGTTATATATCGTGTTCCAATATTGCTAGATTTTGGGCATCAGTCTAAACACGAATGTAAGATCCAGCAAGATATACATATTTTATTAGTGGATGGATTTAATAACAACAATTAATGTTTATTCACCTTTTAATTCTTCACATAAATTTCTTCCCGACTGATCTTGGAAAGATTATTACGCATGCCTGCTGCTATCAATGCAATTGCTAAGCAATGATCTTTATCAATATCCCTGGCAATTGGCTTCACTATTGTTTTGAAAGAATTCACGTTTTAACAGGTTTTGATCTCTAGCTAGCACATTAACTGCCAAGCTGATAATAGAAAAAAATTCCTCAGTCCCATTTGAAACTTTTTAATGATTTACTTTTTAATGATTTACTTAGAAATATTTTATGCATTGATGCATAAAATATTTCTAAGTAATGCATCAATGCATAAAATATTTCTTCAATTCCTCGTACCTCTTGAATTGTATACATTTGAAAATTTTTAACTCTTCAAAATTTCAAACTCTTCAATTTTGATGACATTCATATATGAATGATATGGCTTCCCGGGCAATTTTATGCTATTTTTTCCCATCTAGGTTATTCAATTATGTATAAAAATGACCGTTTTAAATATTTCTTCCATATACAGCTTTACTCAAATGCATGTAATTTATCCCTGCTCTGCCTCAATTCTGTCGCGATATAACAAAGTTGCGCGATGTCACTAGTATTATTTAGTCATACTTACACATCATAATAACAGTTGAACACATTTTGCACATTTTGAGTTCGTTATTAATAGGCCTATATGTTTCTAAAATATATTCGATTTAACTGATTTTCGGAAATAGCAGACACTTATCCTCTCCAATTAGTTCGTTAAATCGAGGGCTTACTGTATTATCGATGATTCGATAATCGAATTATCGATTATTTTTCTTTAGAATAAATTAATCAGTAGTTGAAAGCCTCTGAATTATGAAACCGCAATCTAGCAGTTTCAAATAGAAAGCTGAACGAATGGAAAATCGCTGGTAATATATCAATTGTTATCTCCGTTGCTACCAACTTATTTTATCATATCAGTATTTATCTACATACTAAAAACACGCACATTTTGGAATTTTCAATTCGGATTTATTAAGTGAAAGTTCATATTTACTTTGAAGTCTTATTTGAATTTGTTTTCTAGATTCATTTCTGATAACTCAAGATAATTTTTACGTCTTTTTAATCATCTTATTAAAACAGAATGCATCGGATATTAAAGAATCTTTTATCCAAAAATGATGATATTTACTTACAGAAAAATATTTCATATGAAAACTTGTAAAACAGTTCAACTCTGAAATTCTATAGAAAAGTAAAACTGTCTTCTTAATTGTCACGACCACATATCGCAATCATATCTATTTCAATTGCGAAACGAAAACATGAGAACTGTTTGATAAACAAATCCACATGTTTCGTAAAAATGGACGACCGAATGGCCGGGCGGTTGAAGTGTTCGTCTCTGACTCTGCGGGACCTGGGATCGGGACCTGGGATCAAATCCAAACTAGGTCGAAAAAACACGGGAATTTTTCTGGGGTGGTCTGTTCGCATTTGTTGGACCAGTCTTTCAACATCCAGCTGCTTCATTATGACCCTAAACGAACCCATAATGAATTTACTAAAAATGAGCGATCTTGGTACCCCTAGCTTGGAAAAGTTAATAAAACTTTGCATCGCTTTCAATTATCCATATTTATAATTACTTAAGCTTTCGAAAAACTGATAGACAAAGGATTGTAACTAGTGCAATTTTTTTTCCTGTTGTGTTTCTGTCAATGTCAATCTTTTTGATCATTCTGTAAGGGTTGACAATATCTGATAGTTGACCTTAACGAGCTGTTACAGAAAGTTACGGTGTAGAAATAAAGTAATACTGTATTTCATTGTCTTACAATATACAGTAAACATTGATTTATTATTGAAGAAATTGGAAAAAAATCGCTAATCATCAAATACATTTAATAAGGAGTTTCAAGCATAAAAGTCATTTACAAATTTATTATGAAGGGTTGAAATTATATAATAGGGTAGTGTTTTTCAACTTTTTTTTAATAGTGGCACTCCCATTTTGATAATTTTTTTCTTGCGACAACATTACATCTTTATTAATGTAGAATTACTGTAATTTTAGTACTGTACTTTTATTAATACAGTACATACAAGTAACGCTGTTCATCTTATTAAAACAAAATGCATCGGATATTGAAGATTCTTTTATCCAAAAATGATGGAATTTACTTACAGAAAAATATTTCATATGAAAACTTGCAAAAAATTTCAACTCTGAAATTCTAATTGAAATACCATTGAACACTGGTAGTTGGTCGCTGGTTCACGTCGCACTAACAGGCTGGCCATGTGGAGTTTCCGGGCTTTCTTCACGTGTGTAGGTAGCATCTAATCTAATCTATATATGGGGCAGTTTCCCATAGAAAGCCTTTCCAGTATCACTCCTCCTCGGCAAAAAGCAACGCAACACTTGACATCCCGTAAATGTTGCGCTAAGTTTTTTCATCAATTCATTTTGCGGTACCTCTGAAGTGTCACTGAAGCACTCTGGTTAATTAAAAGCCACTGTAATAGAGTAGAAAATTAATGTAATTCAAAAGTGTTTTGCTCTAAATAAGGTTACAAATTTTTCAGCAACTTGCTTTCTATAATACAATTATAAATTGTTTTAAAGAAAGGCAATTTTTTACCGTTGTTTGACAAATTGCAGTTTTACTATTTAGATGAAATATTACCCTAAAAACACGGTCACACATCATTTTCGTATGTATATATATATATTAGTAGGATAGTGCTGGCATTCATTTCGTCTTAATTCTATATTTATTTATTTTACACCGGATAACAAATGTCGAAAGATAATTGATTTCTACTCCGTTTCACAGTTTACCCAAAATTAACAATAATTCAAATCTAACTATAGTTTATGGATAGAAACAAACGATTGCATACAATCAAAGGTAGTGTTGTCACGCCTAATTTTTCGAAAGTTGATTATAGTTTTATCGATTAAGCAAACTATTGGTTAAATTATCGATTAACACAACTATTCAATAAAAGAAATACGAAAGAAATGCACATACAATAGTTTCATATAATATTATGCACAGTAAAAATATGTGCATTGTCAAATAAATCTTTAAACATTCTCAAAAAATAGACAAAACTCATATCAGAAACATATGAAAATTACAAAATTAATCTAAATTTGCTTATGGTACTTTATTGAAATTTTACATTAAATTAATTCTGAGAACTATGGAGAAGAGATAGTGACGTTGTCATGTTTTTTAAGATTACGAGTCCTAATTACGAGGACAATCGGTTTTATTCACAAAAAAACAAAGAAACCAACACATACGAGTAAAATACAGTTATGTTAAAGTAACTAAACAAGATAATCATCAGCATAATTTAAAACAGCGATGATTTGTATCAAATAAAATTCATCCTCTTCCCCTTTCTATTACAATTCCCTAATCCTCACCTACCTCCCCTCCTCTCCTTATCTCACCTCCTGACCCCTCCTTTCTCATTCTAGGGCTACACCTCAGAGTAAGGCCCCACCCTCCTTTTACCAACTGTATCAAATAAAATTTTAGAATCTATTGTATAGTTTATCTTCAAATGACCTCGAACTTCGGCTATTGTTTTTTCGAGAAACTATTCTGTTTGGAATGAAATCAATTATATTCACTTGTATAAATATGAAATATGTTATTTTAAAAAGTTTCATTGAAAGTGGAGACAAGATAACGATTATATTTGTTGATATTTACGGATTTCTAATAAATTAATTCGCAATTATGATGAACGCAATCCGTCAGAGATAAGATAATATTTACACAGTTCGGTTATAATCTCAGTAAGGTTGTTGCAGACGTGAATTATCTGACTTCGAAATCACAACAAGATGGAATTAATAATTATAGCTGTATTCTTGGTTAACGTGTTGAATATTAATGCGATTTATATAGAGAAAAACAACAAAAACACGACGCTAGTTATGAAAGAAAGGAACGAGCAATTATCCGATATAGATTCCAAACACATTGTCAACGTAACAGAAATGAAACCGTTATCGCATTTGACAGGTAAGTTTTCAATAATCTAAATACTCTGTAATTTTCGTTAGCTTATATAAAAACAAAGAAGTAAATTCGAGACCGATATACTCGTATGAACTTGTGAAAAATAAAATAAAATAAAGATTTCTTTTGTAAGAAGTTAGACAACGATGAAAATAAAATAATAACTAACAAGTTAAATTTACGATTATCTAATGTTAATTTTTTTTAATGTTTGTCGTTAATATCCGAATTTTTTAATTTGTTAAATAAGATGTAAAAGTTTAGATTCATTAATAAAATTATCACAGTTAAATTTATTATCAAATGATGTAATTTTTAAAAAAGCTAAACATTATCTTTTGATAAATTTTGCTATTTTTCCAAACTTATCATTTAAAAGATCTACTAGATTTTATAATTAAAAACTTCATAGGAAAAATGTGTATTACTAAATTACTTACGAGTTAGATTTAAAAATATTTCTGTTTAATACTATAAAAATTTCTACTATAAATAACACTTTCGATTAAGAAAATCGATGTTATCAACATTATTCGATTCGATTAAATTAATATAGATAATACTTAAAAAACAACTTATATCTGAAAATAATATTTCAGACCTAACAGTATAACTTGTAAAAGCCGGATTTGTACAAAACTTTATCCACTTTAAGCAGGGTTTCTGTCACTATGCAGAAAATAAATTTTATGCATATGTTACGGCTAAAGCCCTTAAATCCGATAAAGCAAGGGTTATTAACTGACTAATGCTAGCTTTATTCAAGTATTTTGGTTAAAGTAACAATCTGTTAATTTTTAACTTGTTATGTAAAACGCACTTTATTCAAATTACATGAAGATAAGGTTTATATTATTCAAAAAAAAAGGTGGATAAAGAAAAAAAAACTTAAAATTTGGGTTTTATTCACCTCGAAAATTTGGGGTTTTACTTTGGCCAGATAATTTGCGATCTTTCTAATGCAGGTTGGATGAATAAAGAAAGAATTTTGTTTCTTAAATGAAGCAGAATTTATTTTTTTACTGTATAAAAATAAGATGAACGAAAATAAATGTTGCCAGTTACTTCACTAAAATATATTTAACTAAAAATTTAGCTTTAACAAAAAGTACGTTATTTTGATTTACTGAATACCGATAAGTAGGCTTACATAGATTTAAAATAGTGTATGTCAGTGGTTGATCATAGTAATACATAAAATTAGAAAAAAATAAAAGATCCTCTGGTTAAGATTTTTACGTTTTTTAAACTTGTTTTTATTTTCCCGGATGCAATATATAGGGGAGATCGGGGCAAGATCGGCATATTAAGCTTTACTTAAATTTTGTGTAATAAATATTGCTGTAAACTGAAAAAAAAGCTTTGCATATTGTCTATTGGAATGTTACCTTACTATAGAACTGGTTAAAATCAGTTTGGAAATAAAAATAATTAAAATAATTACAACTTTACAAGAAGAGAGAAATTGACGAAGTTGCCCCGGGTATAGGGGCAACTTCGGCAACTTCTCTCTTTCTGCAGCATTAAATTCAGATGGAGCACTGGCATTAAATGGATATTGAATCCCTGCAAATTTATCGATATTATCGTTTTGAAAATATTTCTTAAACCAGATGATAAGCCATGATAAATGTCCTTCAAAAATAGAGTTCATACCTCGAGAGAAATAAACTCCATTGAAAGTCAAAAACTGTTGCAACAAGGGGAAACATCTTTTCCTCCGTCTTCATTTATTTTTCTTTTCCACAGTTTTAATTCTTTTTATAAAAGCTGAAATTTTCTCAATCGATTTTAAAAGGTGCATGTTGCTTCCCTGAAGGGAGAGATTCAGAGCGTTCAGCTTTTCAAAAATATCACATAAGTATGCTAGTTTTACCAAAAAAAATCTTCAATCACAAAATTTTCGACATACTTGTGATCTTCCTCTTTAAGAAAAATATAAATTTCCTGTCGCAGTTCAAACGTACGGGACAAAACATTGCCTCGAGAGAATCTCCTGGTAATGTTTTGTACTCTCTCGAAGTGCTGTAGTATAATGCAACAAAGACGTGTCCTCCTCACAGTTTTTTGAAAAATCTTGCCTTAAACGGCCGTTATTATAACGTTTACTACATGTATTATAGATTCTGGTTCAATTCAGGATATTTAACTCAACTCAGGATCAACTCAGGTATTTTGATGCGATGCGAATAACGCAATGGGTCCACAGTGCATCAGGGATTTTGCTTCGAAAAAGTTCTTACAATCCTCCACAAAATCCGGACATAGAACGAACATCATCAGTAAAGATACCAATGCATTTGGTTCACTCCAAATTATTTTCGGAAATAAAAATATCAAGGATCTCGAATGTCTTAGCACCAGCAGTGATACTTTTAAAGAAGAGAAAGTCTTCTACAACGTTATTATTATCTATAAAGTGTACATAGCAAATCAAGTGAGCATTATTACTGTATTATTATCTGTGTCCTCATCCAGCTGCACCCCAAATTCTTTCCCTTCTATTTTATCAATAACTGAACATTGAAGGTCTTTCGCTATGTGCTGTATTCTGCGACTGATAGTGTTATTGGACAGAGGCAGTTTGAAAGCTGCTACCCTGCAGACCCACCGATCAAAATATACACCATATCTACAGCAGCCGGTAGAATGAGTTTTTCTGCGATGGTATGAGACCTTTTACATTTTGCGATTCTATGTGCCACCTTTATTACTGAGTTAATGATTTGCATCAGGTCTGCTAGATGTCGCATCTTATCACATTGAATTAAAAGTGGAAGTAAAATTATGAAAATTTTATAATATTTCGCGGTGCCCCTGTGAGGAAGCTGCGGCGCACACTTTGGAAACCGCTGCCCTAATGTATTAGTGTAATCTTTTTTTAAGGAAACATCTTGAAAAAGATTTTAAAAAATACTTGATATTAATTAGATATCATACGGAGAAAATATGATGATCATATTAATTAAACAAAAGAAATATGATGATCCTTTATAATAGCGGGTTTAAAGAAAAGAAAAAAAACTTTCTACTCGGTGGGCATTAAGAAGACCATTTTAGTCAGCCCATTATGGAACAAAAAATACAACAAATGTGGAAGAATGCTTCATTAGCTTTAATTTACAAAGACAAAGGTAAGAAAGAAAAAATAAAGAACTTTTTTATTTGTGGTTTTAGACCCTTTACTGCTCAGAGAGCACAAAAAGGCCAGTAAATAAAGAACTAAAGGTCCATCAAACTTATACAAAATTCTCAGAAAAGTAATCACCAATAGACTCATTGATAAACTAGATAAATAGGCCTACCAACCGATTGAACAAATAGGATTCCGTAAAGGATATAGCACAATAAATCATATAATAAGACAATTAATTGAAAAAAGTAAAGAATTTCAAAGACTCCTTCGAGAAACTTTCGACACATTTTTTAAAATATTTTATATAATAAAATAGCTTTTTTAAAACAACAAACTATATGATTTTCTTTTATCCAGTTTTACCTACAGGATTTCTAATAAAACAATGCAATATCTAATAAAATGCTTGACAATGTTTACAGGACTCGAAATTCAGCCAACGACTTCCAATGCTCAAATGCTTTTCTAGGGAAAAATATAACGACATGCTTAATATACGAGATAAGTATAAATTTTGCTTACTGTAAAAAAAAAAGAAACAAATCCAATTTTCACATATTACAGCCCGCTTTTAACAGGGCAAATCTTAACGTATTACATACTTTAAGTAGAAGTCGTGTATTCTTTATGCAATAAAACAATTGAAAAGCAAAACTTTTATCTAAATTACGTCAAACTAAAAACATAAAGCATTGTAAAATATTTTCTGCTCAGGAAATGATTAATATGGCATGTGATTGCCTCCTCCACGCGTACCGTAGGCCTATATGCTGCTCAGCGATTACTTATGCTGGTCATAAAACTATCAACTCTGTTGAGTACAACATCTATTGTTAAAGATAAGCATCTTAAAGCTCCCGGAATGTTATTGGTGGAGGAGGAACGGATGCAACTCCTCTTCCTAGTGCATAAATACAAGTCCTATGGAATTTCCAGTCGTAGATCTTTCTGACCACTCCACGAGACGAATATCTTCACTGTCAACAAAATCGTAAACGAGAGAATCCCGGACATTATATTTCATGTAAACGAAATCTTCACCACAGTATCTCGGAAAGTCTTATATGGGATTCCAATATCTCATTTTGTAGTAATGGCATTCCTTACATAAACGTGGAGCTCAGTGAAGGAAGCTTGTTTATTTCTTGCTCTATAAAATTGACGCTTAAATTTATTTTTTTCTGGACATGAGTTGTAGTCAAATGATTGCGAACTTATCATATTTATGCCATATCAATCTATACATGTTATCATTTACATATTTTATATGATACTTTATTTTTTAACGTTAAGTAAAGTATATAATGATATATTATGCTAATATATAAATTAATTATGTAATATTTTACGAAGTTTCTTTAGGTGAGTTTTGTTTCTATGATAAACAGTGCCAGACTCCTAATTCAGGTTGCTTCGTAAGTTCCATTGCCAGAACATGCCAATGTAACTCTAATTATGTAAGAATACATTATTCATGTTATGAAGCAGGTATGTTTAATAATATTAATAAATTTTGAATTTTGAATTTTGATATTGTTTAAAATACTATAATTTTAAATTAATTTTAAATCTTTTATTTTCTTAAATGATTACAATTGATTACATTTGCTTAGAGAAAATTAATAAATTAATTCTAATTGAATATTTTTGTTTTAAAATATCTATTTAATCTCATTCTAAAGATCGTTTTTGTATATCGCATCATGTTGCAACATATTAAAAAGAATATGATAAGACTGCATCCCGAATGATATAATTGATAAATTTTTGTTTATTTTCTAACTTTTAATATTAAATATATATATAATTTATTAAAAGTCTAAATTTTTTACCTATATAATTTTTAATCGCCAATAGTTACAATATATTTATATACTGATATTTTAAAAGTTTTATTATATCAATATAGAAATATATTTTAACTACTTACTTCTTAATCCAGTCTAACCGCGGCCGGATGGCCGAGCGGTCGAGGTGGCAGCTCTGGAGGACCCGAGTTCGATTCCGAACGGGTCGAAAAATTCCCAGGAATTTTTCGGGGAGTAGTTCGTTCGGATATGTTGGGCCCGTCCCTCACTATCTGGCACCCCCATTGTGGGCATGGCCGAACCCATAATGGGCTTGCAAGAACAGTTCACTTAGTGCCCACAGGGCGGAAAGAGTTAAAAAATAATAATAATACAGTCTAACCTTCAAAAACGCCCTCCACCCAACAACGATCATTTTTAATCAGTGGCCCTTTTTTCAGGAATTTTTCAACAAAACGAGCAATTATTTATTGTAATTTGGTCACAACGCTGGGCTTCAATTTTTAATTAATTTAATTTCAAGCATATAGTATGCTCACCCTCTCAAATTAGTACTGTAGTGTCTTTCTCTTGTACATCATACTTCTCCGTTAACACAGGAGTCGTGCCTGTCATCCATGTAACTCCTTTTAGGAGAAAATATTTGAATTGAAATAACATGACTTCCCGTTTGTATCGTACATTTGTATATAGTTAACCGAGGCCTCCTGCCACTATTATTTCCATATATGGTCTTGACTTTTATTTATGTAGCACTATTCTGTAGATTAAGGAAGGACAGACAGACATACAGATGGACAGATGAACCACAGTGTGACACTGTATTTTCTTTTGTCTCATTCTGTACTGTTATTTAATTAATTTGATAAATTGTACTAACTTCAGTTTTTATGTAATACTTTAACTCCCTTGTAACGAATTACGGTTCATACAATAAAAAAATTGAATTAAATGGAATTAACAATATTATGAATTATTATTAATAATTGAATATCAATTGATGAATTCTTAATTATAATTCTGAAGTTTATTTTTAAAATATTTAAACAAATTACATAAAGTAATAATATGTCATTTTTACAGTTTCTTTAGGTGGATTTTGTCTTAGTTCTAAACAATGCAAAACTCAAAATTCAATGTGTGTAAATTTTTGTATGTGCAAGTATGGATATACCCAATATGGTGGTAAATGTTTACCAGGTATGTTTACTTAGCTTAATATCTTGTTATAAATATAAAAAATAAATAAACATTTTTATATGTAAAATCGATCAAGTTAGATATAAAACTCGATAAATTTGTTATCTCGTCTTTCTAACAGAAATTTTGGATGAAGTGCGGCCTAACTACAGATTCTTAGCCCTTAAAATTTTTGAAATGCCCCACAACTATTCCATTTCCGAAAAAAAATGAAATATGAAATACAGTATTTTTATATCTGGAGAAATTTCTGTTAAAAGATAAATTACAGTACGTCTATGGTTTTTATTATACTTTATAATACAAATTTTTCCATATATTAATTCCTTTGTCTAAATAAATTTGATTGAGAATTATCAATATGGTTCCCATTACAGTCGACCCCCCTATAAGACAGTCAGTCAGTCAATATCGTTTATTATATACAAAAAATACATTTCCGGTGCCGCAATGCACTGCCGGATGTGGAAACATGATAAGATACAATAATTACAGTTGTTTACAGGAGTAGAGGTACATAATAACAAAAATAGATAGTAATACAACATAAATACAATCTTTGCTGACAGAATATGGTTATACAGAGAAACCCGAAAAATTTGATTTGGATGTAAAACAAGAGATGTAACAGAATAATGACACGCGTCTTAATACAAATGGAGCCCAGAAAGTTGTTGAGCTAGTTGGAGAATAAGGTGCGGTACAACCCAGGAAATGCTGCAAAGCAGCAAGGTGCTTAAATGTGTAAGTTATCACGAGAAGTAGCGTAAGTATACGTATACAACAGTCCAGAGCAAAGGCAGAGACGATGAGAAAGAAGAAATTAGAAGAAGTAGAACTACTCGCGTGTGGTGATTGGTGCTATGCGTTCGTAGGCGAGCACCAGGTTGAGGAAGGTGGGAAAAAGTTCCTTGTGCTTAAGTAGTTCCTGCTGCTGGCATGGCCAAGAAATATTAATTTTCTTTGCCGTTAGTTCGATTTCTAGTCGTTCTTTTGTGAGGCAGATGCATCTGTATAGATAATGGTTGGGGCCGTCCACTTCCTTGCAGATGGCACAGAGGGGAGAGCGTTTCCCCGTGAACCGGTGCAGATAATTGGAGAATTTTCCGTGTCCAGTTATAAACTGTGTGAGTTGAGAGTTGCTGCTAATCCAAGTGTAACTGTAGTGATCAATAACGTTAGGGATGAAGTGATGGGTCTGGTTGCTATGATTGAGGTGCCAGGAGTTTTGCCAGTTATGAAGAACTTCAGTATATAGGAGATTTTTAATTTTTTGATGGCTGATCTTATGATAAATGGATTCAATCGTGTTATCGTTGGTGGCATCCTTCGCCAACTGGTCCGCTCTTTCGTTACCGGCAGTGCCTTGATGCCCGCGAACCCAGCTGATGCAGTAGTTGTTGGTGGAGTTGTAAGTGAGTTTCTTGATTGTGGTAGAGAGTGGATGTAGCTGTCTACTGTTAATGAGTTTAATGGCGGACTGGCAATCGGTAAGGATAGCAATCTGCTTATTTGTGCAGTGCTGCTCGGACCAGTCTATGGCCATGTGAATGGCCACAAGCTCGGCCTGGAAAACGCTGCATAAGTCGTCGAGTCTGTACATTTGGTGATGGATCTCGTGATTTTCCCTTAGCACAACGAATGCGCAACCGATATTCCCATTAAGGCCTGAGCCGTCTGTATAAATCTGCAGGTCAGGGTTGCTGGGCATGTCGGTGCTAATGTAACTATTGA